CTGGTTGTTCTGGAAGGAGCAGGTAAAGGCGAGATCGAGTGGTTGGAGTAGCAGGAAGGGAGGACAGAGACTTAGGGTGCGTCTACATAGCAGCGTTATTTCGGAATATCAGACTCCGTGTCTAAAGTACAAGGCTTTATTTGGAAATAATGTCGAGCTGGAGGACGTCTTCCTCCGACTCCTGTACCCCTCATTTCACGAGGAGTAAGGGCAGTCGGAGGAAGAGTTTTCTTCCTTCGACCTCCTGCTGTGAAGATGGTGCTAAAAGCCGAGTTAAGCTATTTCCACTTCAGCTGCGCTATTGACATCACTGAAGTTGCATCACTTCATTCGACTTTAGCCCTGCCATGGAGACGTGCCCCTTCTGTGGGCTTTCCTACTAACTCACTGTAGGGTAGTAGACAGGATACTTTAGGGTGCATCTACACAACACCCAGAACTCGAAAGAAGATATACAATTTGCACTATGCAGATTGCTTATCTGATCTTGAATCTATTTAGAAATACCTTACTTTGACATTTAGTGCATCTACACAGCACCAAATTTCAAAATAATGCGCTATTATGAGCCATAGCTAATCTCTCATGCCGCAACGTTTACCAGGATTGTGAAATATCAAGCCCATTATTTCAAATAATATTTGGAAATAACGGGCGGCTTCTGTATATGCTATCCCGAAAGAGCTATGTCATCCAGACGTACCCTTACAGCTCTGGGATTCAGTTTCCCCATCTGTAAAAAAGTGGATAACAAGACGCCTGCTGCTGGATTATGGGAAGTTTGATATTGATTTGGACCGCACTCTCTACTGGTTTTTGGTGTGCAGCTTTAACATTTCTCTGAAAAAGAGTTTTGAGACATTATATTCCTAAAGCACATGTAGGTTTCCCACTGAAAGGTGCTATGGGCCTGATCCAGAGCTCACCAATCTCAGGAGGAGACTGTCCGTTTATATGGGCTTTGGGTCTGGCAAAATCCTGTCAACAGATGAGTTCTTACAGTGCAAATCCAGCCAGGGTCCATTCTTCACGACAAGCAGGGGAATCAGAGACGAGGGGGAGTTTTTTATCAGGTTATACCCACTTGGATGCCCAGCTTGTACCCCCTCATTTCACAAAGCGAGGGGCTAATTTTACTGACTGTCGCCAAACAGGCTGGAATCGTCTACTCTCATCTGGATTTCGATTCTCGGAATCACGGCGGGCGCACGCTGCAGCAACCAGCCAGAGGGAAACGTGCAAAACCCTGAGCAGTCTGGTGCAAGAAAATCCACATGTGGGAACTGACAGCTGGGTCTCTGCTGACCGGACGTGGCAGCTGGAAGAAGGCTCCATCTGTCGCCGTCGCCTTTCTCTTTCGTTTTCTCCACTTCTCTGGTTAGAATATGCAGAGCCCAGCCTCACCAGGTGGGAAATCTCCTTTGGGGATATAAAGGTTTCCTGGTGCAGGAGACTTTACATGTCACGTGTGTGTTAGGCTGGAAGCTCTTTGGGGCAGGGATTGTCTCTTTGTCTGTGTTTGTGCAGCGCCTGGCACCACGGGCCCTGGTCCAACACTGGAGCTGCTGGGTGCTATGGCAACACAATTATTGTTCTCATCACCCTCCCCCCATCTGAAGGCGAACCTGGACACAGCTGAGCAGCACAAGGAGTGAGGCCGGCTGGCAGGAGCCTGAGTGTGTCGCAGCTCCCGGCTCTCCGGAAGGCGCGGGCTCCCCTTGCAGTAACGCCCCATGGACATGTCAGGGGAGTCTGCAGGGGAAGGACGGATGCGGGAGCAGCTGGGAGGGGTGAGAATCTCTCCCCAGGCAGTTGCTGGAGCTGCTACTGCAGGTTGACCTCCAGGCACCAGATTTCCCCCCAAATGTGAGACCCAGAGGATCCAAGTTCCGGCCATGTATCGGCAACACGTTCCCCATGGTGGGAGCTCTCCCAGTGCCCGAGCCTGACCCCGCTGCCTCTTTACATCCCAACGTGCTGTTCTTCAGGCTGTCCCTGTGTCCCACATTAAAATCTGACGCAGACCCGCCAGTGATGTGTGCGTCACGTTTGTCACCCTCTCTGGGCCTCCAGCTCGGCTCCCTGGGCAATAGGAAAGTGACGAGTTCAACCCTCCGGGCCAGATGCCATTTCGATTTGCAGCAGCGTCAGTCTGGCCTTTCCGATAAGGCCCTTATACGAAATGGGCTGGGGAGTGTCACGGAGTGAGGGGGAGCTAGCGGGCCCTGCACCCCACCCGCAGCCAGAGGTGACTCTCAGGCGGCAGGTAAAACAGAAGGTTTATTGGTTCCCAGGGACACAGCGTAGCACAGACTTGTTAACACAGGAACCAGGAGCCGTCAGCGCAATCCAGCCTGGGGAGAGAGGGGACCAGAGCCAGCACCCTGGCCCCCTCCCTGCAACCTCAGCCCATCCAGACTAGCTCACACCCTCAGCAACCAGCCCCAGCCCCACAGCAGCTCCGCCTCCTCCCTTGGCCTCCTGGTTCCATCTCCCACCTAGACTCAGGTTACAAGTCAGCCTGAGCCAATGTGTCTATGCTGGGCTGGGCAGCCTGGGGCAGCCTCCCTCAGTGAGAGTCACGCCCAAAACTCCCTGGCACCAATGTATTGCTCAGGGAAACTGAGGCGCGCGCGCCGACACACACACACACACACACACACACACACACACACACACACACACACACACACACACAGAGTTACTACAGAACACAACAGAACAAAGCAAACAGAGCGACCCCAACCCCCACTCCCTCACAGGGAGACATGGTGTGACTAGTGCTCTGATTTCTAGGTCTGAGCTGTGGAAGCCCTGACAACAGGCAGCCCCTCCCCAGCCAGCCTGGGGGCCTGTTTCTCTTTTGTACCAAGTCCCTCCCCACCGTTATTCAAATCGCAAGCCCACGTTGCCCTCTATTGTCAGCTCTGTCAGGGCACTCAGGGACAGATGCACTTTCCTTCTCTCTCCCTGTGCCCTGCGGCCACACGCACTTGCTCACCAGCCCCGCTCAGTTTGCTGTCAGCCAGTTTATTGCTCGATCTGAGGGGAGTCACTTGAATTCCAGGGACTGCAGCAGGAGCAAGGCCTCTAGCCAGTGTTCCCTGTAAGCTGAGTGCCTGGGTGGCCACCCAGTAGAGACTGAAATGCCGCCCAGCTGATAGGAGAGCCACCCCTGCCATCCATAGCCAACAGCATGTGTGTTTTTCTCCTAGTGGTGCACATCCACATATTATTTGGTGCATTAATAAAAATTCATTCTGTACATAGATGGAAAAAATAGAGGAACCCTTGCTCCTACCCCTATTAGCCATGTTTCAGAATCGCACTAGACACCTGTTAGGGATGTGAATTGTTAACCTGTTACTCAGCTAAGGTTAACCGGTGGGGCCCAGGAGTCAGCAGACAGGAACTGCTCTGACCAAGACATTAGAGTAGCCCCTGCCTAGAGCAGCGGGGTGGAGAGGATGGGAGGCTGTTAAATATGTTTAACCAGTTAACCCATAAAATAGGGTTTTACATTCTTAGCGCCCATCTGCATTGACAGGCACATAAAGACATTTGAAAATCTGGCCCAAGGTCACTTTTTAAAACCAGATGCTTCTGAAAATCCAACCCCGCATTGTCGTATTTCTCCGAAATGTCAGAGCTTGTAAGTGCTATTAAATGATCATTTCAAGTGCCATTAAACTCCACATCATTGTTACAGACAAGTGTCCTAGCACCACAACGTTTGCTACAGGAACAGACCAAGCATGGAAGGCTGGGGGTTACGTTCACACTGTGAAAAACCCAAGTGGTTTAGGAGCATTTTCCTTTCCAAATCAATGGGCCTTGTGCTCCCACATCTAACCTGTTAGGGTATGTCTACACTACCACCCTAGTTCGAACTAGGGTGGTATCTCCTATCTAACAAGATGAAATACCCCCAGATTTTCTTTTCCAAAGTTTTGTCTCTCCTGACAGTGCACCATTAGTAGACAACTTATCCTGGTAAGACTTCCATCCTCGAGAATGTAAGATCCCGTTTAACTGGTTAACCGATTAAAGGAGTTAATCGCATTTAGCCAATTAAAGAAGTTGGGTGGAAAACCCTGGCTTCCTGTCAATACAGACTGGGAGCTGGCAGCCCCGCGTAGGGGCCCTGGCAAAGCTGGAGCAGCTCTCCACCTATGGCTAGGCCATGGACAGGGGCTGCTCCCAAGGACCCATTAACTGTTACTCAGTAAGCATCACCCGTTAAGCATCCCTAGTTCCTACCATGTCTAATTTAGAGGTGAAGGATGGTTGATTGTTACAGCACTCAGCTGGGACTTGGGAGTTCAATCCCTTGGCTTCATTTGTGATCTTCATTTGTGACCAAGATACTTCCTGTGTCTCAGTTCCCCATCTATAAAATGGGAACAATGGTTCTTCCCTGCCTTACAAGGCTGTTGTGAAGATAAATACATTCAGACACAACAATAGCGGAGGCCAGGTAAGTACATTTTATAGAACTCCATATTATTTACAATCACTCACTTCATGTTCAAATTTCTTCTGAATACAGGGTGCATCCAGTCAGACACAGGCCCCCCACTCGCATCACCACAAACATTCTCATTTATCTGATTTTCTTTGGTTTCTCCTCCATCTGGCTGTAACCCCCCAAGGAGATTACCTAGATTCCTGGGGCTCTGGCAGCTCAGGGAGAGGCACACGGTCCCTGGTAGGGAGGGGGAGCCAAGGCAAACGCAGAGTCCGCCCGGCAACAAATAGGGCGTGAGATGCCCTTCCCAGGGAGGAGAGGGGAGATGTGTGTGTGTGTGTAACTGGCCTCTGCGGGGGGGGAGGGGGTGTCCCCTGAGAACTGGCCTCTAGGGACCCGAACGCAAGATCCCTCCACTGGGCTTTTCCTTTCTCCTTATTCCCAGTTTGTGGAGTTTGCTGGGAAACTTCCCCAGCCAGGCGGAGTTAGCCCCCAGCTCCCTCCGTAAGACCAGTCACGGTCAGCCCTGCTCTGTCTGCTAGTGTGTGTGTGTGTGTGTCTGGACACTGGGCTAGGAGACTACAGTCTGGATTTTAGTTCAGTTGTGTCATCTGCACCTTGAGCCCTGCACCCCTTTGTGGTGAGGGGAAATCCTGGGACCGAAGCCGCCTGATTCCTGCCGGAAGAAAATCCTTGTGAGCAGAGATCAGCCCCCTGCCGCGACTGAGGAGTCCAGAGTCATCTCTGAACCTGAGGATCGTCCATGGAGTTTGTGAGAGCATCAGCTTTTAGTCAGTCAGTCTGGGAGTTTGTTTTGGGGACCCCCTTTTCCCTGACCTGTGTCCTCAAGCCAGGGAGTAAGGGTTTGGGGCTTTTATAACCTGCTGCATATTACACCTGTGGAGGGATTTACCACCTTATCCCGCTTGTGAGTCCTTTGGGCTGAACTGAACTGTGGAAGCAGGCTCCTGACATAAGTGGGGGCAGGTCAAAGGGGAATACTGAGTGGGGGCAGGATAAGCATGTTTAGGCGGGAAAAGGAAAACTGTAACTTGTTTGGCTCTCAGCCAGACATGATAGCTGCTGTATCCTGCCTAGCAACAAGTTTGGGCATGTCAAGTAGTGGTCGTTTACTGCGCTGTATAAAGGAGTTCACCTGGCTGCGTCCAGTAGAAATCCCCTTGTGATTTCTCCATAGCGCTGTGCATTAAAGTTCGGTTCATCAGGTCTCCGGCCTCCATCTTGACTTTTCTCCAACAGAACCCACTCAGCCACACTGCTAAACCACTGCAGAGAAGAATTTCGTGGTCATCGGTCAGCAAGGGCCCCAACAAAGTACGCGTACCCACGGGACACTAATCTTACATTGGCTACATCAAGTCACGAGACTGGGGCAAGTCACAGGTATTAGCCACATGGGCACCAGCAAACCTAAAGCTAGTGTTTTACCCTGTTATGTTATATTTGTCTCCTGTTGAATATAATTAGTGTGTTGAACATATTGTAAGTGTTTGTGTTATTTCTTGGAAGTCTCCAACTATCTGGCAAGTACGTGGGGATTACCCTGTGGTTAGAATTTTCCTCCCAAGCTGCCTTGGTGACCCGGAAGGAGGGTGGAGGCACCGCCAAATTCATCGGGAAAAAAAAAGAGGATACACCCTGCTGAGTGGGCAGCAGGATCCAGACTAACCCAGACCTGTCCCTCAAAACCTGTAAACAGATTGGCATTAAAGAAGGTAACCGGGTGGAGAGGGGGTGCTACATATGTTTAACCAGTTGAACAGTTAAACAGGAGTTTTCATCCTTAGCGCCCATGTCCATTGATAGACACCTAAAGACATTTGAAAATCTGGCCCAAGGTCACTTTTTAAAATAAGACGCTTTTGAAAATCACATCCCGCATTCTCGTATTTCTCCCATATCTCAGAGCTTCCAAGTACTATTAACTGATGATTTCAGGTGCTACTAAACCCCACCAGATTGTTACAGACAAGTGTCCTAGCACCACACAGTATGCTATAACAACAGACCAAGCGGTGCTATTAAACCCCACCAGATTGTTACAGACAAATGTCCTAGCACCAGACAGTATGCTATAACAACAGACCAAGCATGGAAGGCTGCGGAGAGAGTAACATTGTGAAAACACCCAAGTGATTTAGGAGCATTTTCCATTCAAAGTCAATGGGCTTTGTGCTCCCCCATCACGGGGGTTTCGTTATCTAGACCATCCCTGTTCAGGTGTGTGAAATTATTCTGACTCACTCGGGTACATCCATGAGCCACTGGACCGTGGAGAAGTTCGACAAGAAATGCTGCTGCTGCTGTAGATGCTGCACCCACCCAGCTAGTGTCTGTCATCACATCACATGCTCTTCAGAGGCATCCTCACTGGAAAGGACCCAGACACTGCACCCAGTCACTGCAGCACTGCACTAGGCACCAGCCCTCGGGCTAGTGTGTCAGGATTTTCTTCTTTTTTCTGAAAATGATTTTTGCCGAATTTCTGCTTTTATCATCTTTAGGTAAAACTTCTGTGTTCAGCTTTGGAACTGGGAAAACTGCCTCTTCAAGAAGAAAATGGGTGTTGAATATTTGCCCTGTCTTTGGAAAGATTTCCTGGATTTTAATTGCATTTCCTTTCACTTGTATAAGGTTATAGCAGGTCTTTTAGCATTTAGGCTGCAAGGGATAGATGTTCTCAGACTAAGTAATTTCTATTGCGGCGCTACCCATTCCCTCTGTGGCAGGTGGAGTAGACTAAGTAATTTCTATTGCGGCACTACCCATTCCCTCTGTGGCAGGTGGAGACCAGATGGAAACTGACCATAACCACGTTTTCTCTCTCCAGTGCTAGGAGTGCAGTTATTTCTGCACCAGCCTCAGCCGATCCAGTTTGTGGAAGTTGGTCACAGCGCAGAGATCCACTGTTCTTCCACTGAAAACTTGGAAGGCAAAGGGAAAGTGTTATGGTATCTGAGAAGAGAAGGAGAGACACCCACATGCATTATGCGCTGTTTGGATGATAAAAATGTGAGTAAATTTGCTTGCAAACATGAGCCACACAGCACGATGCTGGAAATCAGCAACATCGAAAAGAACGAGTCTGGCGTTTACTACTGTGCATATATCCACAGCAGCTACCTGATTTTCGGGAATGGATCCACACTGATTGTTGGAGGTAAGAAACCTACCTTGTTTAGGGAGACTAAAAACGGATTAACAAAGCATACTGCATGTTCCGATTGAAATGTGACAAGGTACAATAGCTCCTGCAGAACAGCTAATGGGAAGTAATATTTTTAGCGAAACAGATCAGCTAACCATTAAATGATATGGGTGCAGAAGGAATATAATGCATTTTCTATCTGAAAATATTAAAACTTAAAAATGCCACAAGAGAACTACAGACGTCTCTCTATAGATGTTCACAGCGCCTTGGTTGGGAAAATGTTAACCCTAAAACACCTCATGGCGAAAAAGGAAATTTTGAGTACAAATATTTATCAAAGGTATAAAATGACACAAAAATTTCCTTGCAGATAGTGCAGCTACGGAACGTGCTCCGTGTTAGTGGGTAGTTTGCTCATTTCGTATTTCCACCTTCAATAGATTTGTTTCTTCGAATTGGTGTCTTAGAGACAGATACGTGCAGTAGTGCTGTAGCCGTGTTGTTCCCAGGAGATTAGAGAGACAGGATGGGTGAAGTAATATCTTTTATTGGATCCACTTTGCAGACAAGATTTCGAGCTTGCACAGAGTTCTTTTTCGGGTCTGGGAAATGACATTGCGAGCTCTCTGTGAGCTCGATACCCTGTCTCTCTCACCGACAGAATTTGGTCCAATAAAAGATATTACCTGATCCACCTGGTCTCTGAGCAAAAGAGTCACATCTGTAATCAGGCTGCAGCTCACCCAATGATCACAATGAATTCTCCACCTCCTTCTGCTCAGACAGTTACACCGACAGGAATAGGGTGTTGCTGCTGGTCCCATTTCCACACGGCAGCCAAGACACCGTGACAGCACATCTGGCTTGTGTGGTCCAGGGAGTGTCCGGTCCCGTCCATGTTTCCTGGAGCGTTTCTGGAGAGCGGCAGGAACAGGGGCTGACGCGCTGGTTGAAGGCGAAGGATGGATCTTTAACACTCGTAAATCACATCAGCGTCCCCTGGGACACCTGGGCCAGCGGGAAGATTTTCACCTGTGACGTCAAATTCAACTCTTCTGGCAGGAGTGTGAATGCGAGTGCCGGGTACCCTGCGGGTGAGTGATCTTGTATTGGAGGGTCATGGGAACACAGAAGTGACAGAGGTGTGAAGGGGCCACACTCAGAGCTCCCTCCATGTAAGTTTCCAGCACAGAAAGTTGGACTATTCTGCAGCTTAGCTTGAATTTCTCTGCACAATTTAGGGACAGTAACTTGTGACATTCCAGTGAAAGCAATTAGTGTAGCTCTGATCTCTAGGGCATCCTGCACCCAGATGGTACATAATGAATCCAGTTAAAGAGTTCAGTAATCATTATCCATACAGATCTTTCCCACTGAGCTATAACGTGAGGGAGAGGAGGTGGGGTGAGGAGAGACCTACAGGGAGGATTCTGTAGGTGGCAGAAAGTGCAACTATTCTGATTACAGGAGACATGATTTGCCTAATGGAAAAGGAGCCACACAAACAAAAAGGCCAATGGGCTTATTTTGGAGCTAGGGAGGTTTAAGGTTGGACATTAGAAAAACTTCTTGGCTGTCAGGGGGGTGAAACACAGGAATAAATTGCCTGGGGCAGTTGTGGAATCTCCATCCCTGCAGATATTTAAGAGCAGGTTGGACAGACACCTGTCAGGGATGGTCTAGCCGGTGCTTGGTCCTGCCTTGGGGGCAGAGGACTGGACTTGACGAGCTCTCGAGGTCCCTTCCCTTTCTAGGATTCTCTGAGAAGATGCTGCAGGCTCCGGTAGACTCTCACTGGGGGGGTTGAGGCGCAGGGTGAAACAGGGATCAGGGGGGAAGGGCTGGATGCGGTGGCATCACAAACCTCTTGGCTCAACTCAGCTTCTTGTCTCTGTTTGGTCCCTTCCCCCACAGCCCCAGACCGGCATTGCTCACATTACCTCGTGCCCCTGGCGGCTGGGGCTGGGCTGCTGCTGCTGTCGGTGTCTCTGAGCCTCGTCTGGACCCTCTGCCCTTGCACGCTAGGTGAGAAACAGCCCAGCCCAGCCCCTCCCACACAGAGAGAAATCCTGCCCCCAGCTTGCTACTGGGGGCTGCAGCTGTCCCGTCCAAGCTGCAAATGTCACCCCTGCCGGCACCGGTCCCAGCGTATTCCCTTGTCGGGGGGCGACACAGAACGGCTTTTACTGCCCACGGCCCAGCCACCTTGTCCCTGGTTCAACATGAGCACTGGCCTTCCGACCGGTCTCTCTCCATTGGCCAGTCCAGAGCTCGGCTGCACCATCCCTCACTGAGCCTCCGCTGGGGGAGTGACGGTGGAAGAGGAACTCTGACTGTTCTCTTTGTCTGTTCCAGGATGCCGGCCCCGGATCTCAGCGCCTCCAGCTTCCCGGGAGCCCCAGGTACGGCTCTTCCCAAACTGTCCCTGTCTACATCAGCGGGTCTGTCTCAAGCATTTCTAATCCTCCCCCTTCATAGATTGGGGATTTAAACAACTGGCTGTTCTCAAAGGAGCAGGTGAAGGTGAGATCGAGCGTTTGGAGTAGCAGGAGGGGAGGACAGAGACTTAGGGTGCGTCTACATAGCAGCGTAATTTCGGAATAACAGAGTGTGCATCCACAGTACAAGCCATTATTTGGAAATAATGTCGAGCTGGAGGATTTCTTCCTCCAACTCCTGTACCCCTGATTTCCTGTGGAGTAAGGGCAGTCAGAGGAAGAGTTTTCTTCCTTCAACCTCCTGCTGTGGAGACGGTGCCAAAAGCTATTTCCACTTCTCTTGTGCAATTGACATCACTGAAGTTGCGTCGCTTCATTCAACTTTAGCTCTACCGTGCAGACATGCCCCTTCTGTGTTTTTCGCTACTAACTCGCTGTATGGTAATGGACAGGTCACTGAGAGTGCATCTACACAGCACCCTACACTCAAAATACGATGCACAATTTGCATTATGCAAATTGTGTATCTTATGTCGAATCTATTTCAATATAGCTTATTTTGAAATGTGGCCCATCTACACAGCACCAAATTTTGAAATAACATGCTATTTCGAGCCACCTTTTCCTTTGTGCTACGAGGTTTACTGGGATGGCGAAATATAGCGCTCATTATTTAAAAAAATATGTGGAAATAACGGGCAGCTTGTGTAGACACTATCCCAAAATAGCCAATGCCGTGTACATGTACCCTTACTACTCTGGGACTCAGTTTCCCCATCTGTAAAAAGTGGATAAGAAGACGTCTGCGGTTGGATAATGGGAAGTTTGATATTAATTCGTACCGTAGTCTCTACAGGCTTTTGCTGTGCAGCTGGGAGTAAGTTTTAGCATTTCAATGAAAAAGAGTTTGAAAACATTATATTTAGAAAGCACATGTAGGTTTCCCACCGAAAGGTGCTATGGGCCTGATCCAGAGCTCACTGATCTCAGGAGGAGACTGTCCGTTTATATGGGGTTTGGGTCTGGCAAAATACTCCCAGCAGATGCGTTCTTATAGTCCGACTCCACTGAAGGTCCATTCTGACAGCGCACACAGTTTACAAGACAAGCAGGGAATCAAAGACGAGGGGGAGATTTTCATCAGGCTACTCTCTTTTGGATGCCCAGTTCGTATTCCCTCAGTTTACAAGGCAGGTGGCTAATTTTACGAACTGTCACCAAACAGGCTGGAATCGTCTACTCTCATCTGGATTTCGATTCGCGGAATCACGGCGGGCGCACGCTGCCACGATCGGCCAGAGGGAAACGTGCAAAACCCTGAGCTGTCTGGTGCAAGAGAATCCGCACGTGGAAACTGACGGCTGGGTCTCTGCTGACCGGACGTGGCAGCTGGAAGAAGGCTCCGTCTGTCGCCGTCGCCTTTCTCTTTCATTTCCTCCACTTTTCTGGTTAGAATATGCAAAACCCAGCCTCACCAGGTGGAAATCTCCTTTGGGGATATAAAGGCTTCCTGGTGCAGGTGACTTTACACATCACGTGTGTGTTAGGCTGGAAGCTCTTTGGGGCAGGGACTGTCTCTTTGTCCGTGTTTGTGCAGCGCTTGGCGCCACGGGCCCTGGTCCAACACTGGGGCTGCTGGGTGCTATGGCAACACAATAATTGCTCTCATCACCCTCCCCTCATCTGCAGGGGGACCCAGACACAGCTGAGCAGCACAAGGAGTGAGGCCGGATGGCAGGAGCCTGCAGAGGGGACGTGCAGCCCCTGTGTGTGCCGCAGCTCCCTTTATAGTGTGCGCGGGCTCTCTTTGCAGTACCGCCCCATGGACGTGCCGGAGGAGTCTGCAGGGGAAGGACGGATGCGGAAGCAGCTGGGAGGGGCGAGAATCTCTCCCCGGGCCGGTGCTGGCGCCGCTACTCCCCTGCTGCCTCTAGAGGGGAGTTTCTCAGTGACTGGTCCGTAGAACGACTCCGGGCCCTGACATCCCCTGACACAGTTAAGAAAAGCAGCAAGCCGGTCACTGGTATTGAAAAGCTGCACAAGAGGCTGCTGTTTTCCCCATGGGTGAGATGCACAGACCCCATCTGCCAGCCCTGGGCACCGTCCAATAACAACCTGTTCCCCATGGCGGGAGCTCTGCTAATGCCTTTGCCGCCTATTTCCATCACTGCTTGTTGTTCTTCAAGCTGTCACTGTGTCCCTCATTAAAAACAGACAGCAACCCTGCCAGTGATATGTTTGTGTGTGTGGCCTTTTTTACCTGTTCAATGTCTCAAGTTCAACGTCGTGTGTACTAGGAAAGGTGACCTTTTAAATTCTCTGGACCAGATTGTGCTCTGGTTTGCATCAGCGTGAAACTGGAGGTGCTCAGTTGCAGTCAGTGGAATTACTCCGGATTTACATCGGTGTTTCTTAGAGCGGCATCTGGCTCTTTCTAGCCCACGTTGCCTCTGACTTCCTTTTGAAGGAGGCTACCACCAAAGTGTTACAGACCACTTGTTACACACACACTTGTTACACCCCTTCACATATGGCAAAGGCTGTTTCACAGAGGATGGTGATCAATTGTTCTCCGGATGGTCCCACAAGAAGTAACGGGCTTAATCTGCAACAAGGGTGATTTAGGTCAGATGTTAGGAAAATCTTTGTACCTCTTAAGGGTGGTTTAGCTCTGGGACGGCTTCCAAGGGAGGACAAGGGCTCCTCATCATTAGGGACTTTTAAGAATAGGTTGGGCCAACCCCTGTCAGGCACGGTCTAGGTTTATTTGGTCTGGAACTTGACTTTTTGAGGACCCTTCTAGTCTAATGTTTTCTGAATCAGCGTGCCAGGATAAAATGAATGACTACGGGCAGAATCTGATCCCAGGTATCCCGGCAGAGTGAGCTCGATGGGTGTGCAGGAAGATCAGGTCCCTCCTGAGCCATCAAACAGAGGTCTTGGCCGAATGGCAACTGATGTCATGGAAGATGCTTTCAGACAGACAAGAGCAGCTGGCTCTGGTTCCTTGGATCAACTTCCCAGTGGGGTAAATACTAGAGCTGGTCAGGAGTCTTTAGAGGAAACATGGCCCTTTTCCAAAGGAAAAGGGTCTGTGTTGGTTTTGTTTTAGGGCATGAGAGAGTTTCAGAATTGCAAAATGAAAAACTCCCATTCTCAAGCTCAAAATGGCAGCTTGCTAGAGGTTTAAGCTCTCGATAGATAGATAGATAGATAGATAGATAGATAGATAGATAGATAGATAGATAGATAGATAGATGTGTTATATATTTTAGAGCGTTTGTTCATGTCTGTGAGTCCATTTATTCAAGAGCTCCTCCCAGTCGGTAAGAGCTAGACCCGCCAAATTTGGTATGCAGGTTTCTCTTATCCTAGCTTAATGTAAGGTCAGAAGTTGGTAAGAGCTAGACCCACCAAATTTGGTATGCAGGTTCCTCTTATCCTAGCTTAATGTAAGGTCAGGATTTGGTTGTGCCAGGACAATGGAGATGTGCCTGGAAGAGGATTGTGTGTCAAAACTGAAGGACCACAGGGGGGCAGCAAGTGCTGCAGCCCTAGGGAGCAGCCACTGGCCAGCAGCAGGGCCCATGCTACTCCAGGGTGCCCCCAGGGAGCAGTTGCACACTGTGCCATATGACTCCTGCTACTCCAGGCTAGCTCCAGGGAGCAGCTGGCCAGCAGGCAGTGTAGCCCTCCACCCGGGCCAGACCCAGGCAATGCCGGTAAATCTTTTAGTAGTTCAACAAAATGTTACAATTCCACATTATCTTCTCTCTGTATATAAAAAAGTTTTTCCTGCTGGACGACAGAATGTTCTTGCGGGCAACAGAATGACATCATCAGGCTCGCTCAGTGAAGCGAACGCGGCTGGGGGAGGCAAGGAGGCGTAGTGAGTAGAGGGCGCAGCCCCCTAGTCATGGTCACAATAGAAAGGAGACACCCCACAGTTATTCAGCCAAAACATTTCCCTGCACCCACACCAAAGTTGAGTTTGGTTCCAGAAAAATTGTTGGAGATTTTGCCTTTTCATCGCTGTTCGAGACAGGACGAATCTGTCAATATCTTCTCAATATGTGTGGGATGGGAAATCCGTTTTCTGCCCACTGCTGGGGGTGGCATGAGTGTAAAGTTGCTCCTGCCGCTGCAGCCGGCTACATTCCTGCCATAAGCCACGGCACAGTGCGGTTGTGGGGCTGTGAAACAGCTGCTCCCCCTCGCCCTCTGGAATTAAGGGATTTTCATAAGAACATAAGAACAGCCACACAGTCAGACCAACAGTCCATCCAGCCCAGTATCCTGTCTGCTGACAGTGGCCAATGCCAGATGCCCTAGAGGGAGGGAACACAACAAAAAATCATCACATGATCCCTCCTCTGTCACCCATTTCCAGACAAACAGAGGCTAGGGACACCATTCCTACCCATCCTGGCTAATGGCCATTGATGGACCTAACCTCCATGAATCTATCTAGCTCTTTTTTGAACCCTGTTAAAGTCCTTGCCTTTACCACATCCTCTGGCAAGGAGTTCCGGAGGTTGACTGTGCACTAAGTGAAGAAAAACTTCCTTTTGTTTGTTTTTAAACCTGCTGCCTATTAATTTCATTTGGTGCCTCCTAGTTCTACTATGGTGGGAGTAATGTGTGTGGGAATAACGTTTCCTTATTCACCTTTTCCACACCAGTGTGGGAGTAATGTGTGTGGGAATAACTTTTCCTTATTCACCTTTTCCACACCAGTCATGATTGTATAGACCTCTCTCCTATCCCTCCTTCGTCTCCTCTTTTCTAAACTGAAAAGTCCAAGACTTTTTAATCTCTCTTCATACGGGACTCATTCCAACCCCCTCCTCATTTTTGTTGCCCTTTTCTGAACCATTTCCAATGCCAATGTCTCTTTTTTGAGCTGAGGTGAGCACATCTGTGCGCAGTATGCAAGGGGTGGGCGTATCGTGGTTTTCTAGAGAGGCAAGAAGATGTTTTCTGTAGAGATTTCTATATACAGCAGAAGGGCCCAATCCTGCTTGGTGCTGAGGCGCCTGCTGTGATGTGCTGAGCACTCACCACACAGCAAAGTCCAAGGCAGCGGTGGGCGACCAGCTGCCGCCTTCAGTTCCTTAAAGCCCTGTGCAGGGTAAAGTGGCGTCACTGGGACCCCGGCGCAGTGCATGGGGCTTCATGCCAGTCAGTCAGAGCCGCTGGCAGGGTTCTAACAGGCTCTTACAGGAGACCCTGCAAG